GGACGATCCAGGCAGGATACATTGTTTGGATACATTTATTTTCTTACTTTACAAATTACTGTTTTGATAAATGTCTCTTCATGTTCTCGGTTCATTTTGCGTTTAAATGCTAAAAAAAAATATTTAGGTGTTATTTTTTTGGGGCCGGGAACCAATTAATTGGTTTTCCATTATTTCTTATGGGGAAAATTCGATCAGATCTCGAACTTTTTAGGATTCGATCCGGAGTTCTGAACAGATTAAGTTCGAGTTCTGACGTACCACTGTAGTGTAAAATATTCAATACAATAGCTGGTTGGATACAGAATAATAAATTAGTGTTATGATCAATCTGTACGTATCCCTGGTGTCATGACCTGCTCATTCGCCCCTCCTGTGTGCCACGCCCACCTCGTTACCTCATGTTACTTCCCGATTGTGTGCACCTGTTTCCTGTGAATCCTGGTTTTTCTTGTGTCTTTAGTCCGCGTCTGTGTCAGTATCCCTAGATCTGTCATTAATGTTAATAATAATAATAATAATAATAATGAACACTTTTCCCCTGTGGGGAAATTGTTTTTACGCCTCCCTCAACTTGCTCTTTTGTAGAGTAAGTTGTCTGTGAAGGGCAGCCGCCCGTAGCAGCGCCCAGGGAGCTGGGGGTTGAGGGTCTTGCTCAAGGACCTGCAGATGTGCTGAGGCTGGGCTTGAACTGGTGACCTTGTGATTACAGGCACACGGCTTAGCCCACTGAGCCACACGCTGCCCCCTACCGTGTTGTCCTGCCCGTTTGGAATAAACCCGTATTATTGGATCTTCGTCTGCCTGCTTGATCATTTCCCCGCGTCCTACCTGCTTGTCGGACAGCGCGCACAACACCTGGTAGTTGGCAGAGAATTGGTGATATTATTTTATGAATATATCATAATGTACTTATTGCAGCACTGGATCAGTTATTAGAGTATAACTGTAAAACCGGCCTTTGCAGCAATTTGAAACCCCCTACAGACACATCCAGTCTGCACACCTTCTGTAACAATTAATCCCTACATGGAATAAAAATGTCTGAATTCAGAAAGAAAAAATAGTTTTTAATCCAGGACACATGGATTTCTTTGGATTTATATACATAACAAATGGCTGTAATATGAAAACAAATGTTCATCTGCGGCAACATCCTGTGAAATGTGTCACATTATACACACATCCTGACCTAGAAGCTGCTGATTCCTGAGGGCTCAGTACAGCTCCAGGTGTAACATATGGATCAGACAGATAGCAAGGAATTCTGCCTGCAATTTTGTGTCAGGGATCTGGGCAGGAATGTATTACATACTAACAGCAGTATTAGATTACACACAATGTTCTGAAAAGGAAATAAAATAAGAAAAATGTTCAGATTTGCAGGTGCATGTCTGCATAGATAAATCAGAATCTTCATTGCTTGCTAAGTATCAAGTGTACAAGGAATTCCTCTTGATGCAGGGTTGGGCTGTGTACATCATGTACTGTGTACTCAGTACATTCCTACAGACACATAAAACTACAGCCATCCACCCATCTATCTTCTAACCCCTCATCCTGGTCAGGGATGCGTAGCCTGGAGCCTATCCCAGGCAGGGCAGGGCACAGGGATGGAGTACATTCTGGATGGGATGCCAGTCAGTCACAGGGCACATAGACACACACAGTCTGTTAGAGACACCAATAAGCCTGACTGGATGTCTTGGATGTCTTAATCTCTTTCTTTTGAAGCATAAGTGATTCACAGCCAGATTTTAATTAATTACTTACGTTTGACAGTAATATGAACTGGGATCTGTTCGTCTTGAGCTGCACACCAGTACCAGCCAGTGTCCTTCCTCTCCAGTCCCCTCATAGTCACACTGAAGACTCTATTTACTCTGTCATCCCTGATCAGGACAGGCCTCCCATCCAAATTCCCAGATCTCTTTGATGCACAGTAGCCCCAGAATTTACACCACAACACCTGATTTTCATTGTTTCTATAGCGACACTGAACACTGACACTGTCTCCTTCCACACCCGTCGCCTCCTGTTTGTCCACTGAGAGCCATGGGGAACCTAAACATGCAAATTAGGGACACATAAAACACTGTGTTATTTACTCAGCTGTAAAATATTCATGCATATGACCCAGTTACAACATGCTTATTTTAATGTTTATCTGTACTTTTTATACACATATAACCTGAGCAGAACATATTTCTAATGTTATTTATCCCCTAAAGTAGCCCATTTAAACTGAAACCGTTACTTCTCCCAGGTCTCATTTTTGTTATTGTGCAAAACTAAAAGTGCTAAAATATTTCCTCCTTCAATACACACTATTGTCCTTCCTTTCTGAATGACCTGTTACATACTGTGCATCTAACTGACTACAGTCTGCAGTACAAACTTCTTACCATGAGTAACCAACAGTTTAACCTGATCTCCAACATCTGAACCTCTACTGATCTCCACACCACACCAGTAGTAGTCAGAATCCCCAGCTGTCACATCATTGATGGTCACAGTAAAGACTTGCTGGTCAGGATCATCTCTGATTGACACTTTACCCTCCTGTGGAGAGTCACTGTGTACTATGGGAGTACATGAATCCCTATAATCCCCTCTGCACCAGTATTTCACATGAGTTTTATATCTGTCACCATAGAAACATGGGATGGTGACAGATCCTCCTCTCTGTACAGTCACTCTGCTCAGTGTGGACACACCTGCAGGGACAGTATGAAAATTACAAAGCTGATTAACTCTCACTACTTACACCATTTATACACATATTAATAAAGAGGGAGTACCAGTCCACTATAAGTTGGATATTAAAATTAGTTTGCTTAAATGTTGTTTTTAATATTACTGTATTTGTAAAAATAAAATACTGTTTCATAATTAGCATACAAAGACCATTGCTGGTTCAGGTTTACCTAAATTTATAATTCTAATACAAACATCAGTAACTGACAGCAAAGTTTATGCTCTTTTACAGGCTTTTTATATTTATACTTTTCCACAAAATGTACACTTAAAACCTGCTTAACCCTTAATAAAATATTTCACGTAACACATTTCTAACTGCCTGATGTAGCCAATTTAAACTGACATTGTTACTTCTCCCAGGTATCATTTACCATCCTAAACAAACCATTAATTTAGACCCTATTCTACATGAGTAAAGTTCAGTTGTGCTCTAATCAAACGATTCTTAAGAACACCCCCCTAAACATCACTATCATGATGTATCAAGAAAATACTGGTCAAGTCATTCCTTTTAAAAAATATTTCTTCCTTATTTAAAGTAAGATTGTTTGTTGTCATTGCAGATTGTAAAATGAACTTTTTAATTTAGACACAAGTTCATGAAAATAGTGTAAGCAGATGTTTGTATAGACATCTTACCTTCAGTGACTGACAGGAAAACTGATGGTATAACATCTAAACCTCCACTGATCTCCACACCACATAAATAGGTACCAGAGTCTCCAGCTGTCAGATTGTTGATGGTCACAGTGAAGACTCGCTGGTCAGGATCATCTCTGATTGACACTTTACCCTCCTGTGGAGAGTCACTGCGTACTATGGGAGGGCATGAACTCACATTATACAATCTGCACCAGTATTTCACATGAGTTTTATATCTGTCACCATAGAAA